GAGTGCATAGTTGAAAAGAACGCTTGAAAAAAAAAAAAAAAAAAAAAAAAAAGAACGCTTGCTCCAGCGGCCTAGCTCAATTGGTAAGGCACGCAAGTGGCATTCAGGAGGTCTTGGGTTCAGTCCCCATGGGGCTCATGTACCTTCGTGGGCATGCTTGGCGCCCCCCACCTGAAGGCAATAAATAAAGACCACCCTGGGCTGAAAAGGCCACCCCGTGTCAGTTTTAGACACAAGATTGAATTTACCTGGGCTGGTTAGTCCCATGATAATGGGCCTCGCTGCACTACTCCCCACATGTAGAAAAGAGAAGAAAGATGGAAATGTATCTTTCCATGTTCTAGCGGAAGATTCAGGCTCATTTTGCACATTCGGATAGTAGTGCAGCGAGGCCCAATACCTGGGTTAGTTCCATGATAATACCTCAAGGCCATCGCCCTTTAAAAAAAAAAAAAAAGAAGAATGTTTGGGAAGATACACGCACAGTTCTTTGTCGTTGTCACGTTAATTGAGTGGTGCAGCTAGGCCGTTATATACAGGAACACACAGGGTCTCACTCCAATACAGAACAGTTGACATCTATCTGGACAACACCGCTGACCATGTGCATTCGGCATGATTGGTGATTTTTTTTTTTTTTTTTTTTTTTTTATAAAGGGCGACGGCCTTTAGATATGATCATTAAGCTGACCGGCCCCAGGCACAACTTTACTGATCAAGTTCCATCATCTGGATTTGAACACGGGTCTGTATTTTCAACAATCCATGGGTGTGCCCACTGAGCTAGGCTCTTGGGTGCATGATCGGTGCATTTGGAATTCATCAAGACCGTGATTAGCTGTTAGCACCTTTACAAGCTCGCGCACTGAAGAGGAGAGAAAAAAAAAAAAAAAAAAAAAAAAAAAAGCTTGCCCACTGGAGCGAGGCGCTTATAACGATAGACACTACCAGACAGGCACAGAAAGCAAGGAAGTTGAAAAAGCGAGGGATCAGCGAGAGGGAGAACGCAAGCCGCCATAGCCGAAGTAGCAAACAAGGAAGTAGGAGAAAGCAGCCAATCACCGATTGGGAGAGACGCGTCGACCGCTGAAGGGCTGAAAATCGGGGATTTACCGGTAAACACGCAGGGGCAGAGAGAGAGAGAGAGAGAGAGAGAGATCTGTGGATCGGGTAGTACGCGATAGACGAACGAGGATGGGAAGGAAACGCCAACAAGGAGGTAGTCTCGTGGCGGCCTGGTTGGCGTTGATGTGGCATGTCTGCCATAGCCAAGGCGTACCCCCACCTCCTTCGACTCCTCCGAGAGCCGAAGGCGATGGCGGGTCTTCGTTCGGCCCCTTCACTCCTCTCCAATGGGCGGAGAAGATGGCTGATTCCCAGATGTCAAGATCTGGCACCGGTCTGGACTGGGACTACACCACCGGGTTGTTCGCTTTCTCCCTTCTTCGTCTCCGATCCCCATCTGGCATCTCCTACGCGAGGAGCATGATGGATCGACTAGTCAGCGACGACGGTTCGATCTCCGGATACGATCTGAGTAAGTATAACCTCGACATGATCTTGCCCGGCCGAGCCTTGCTGGAGCTCATCTCTCTCTCTCCTTCTTCTCCACTAAACGACAAATTTCGTAAGGCCGCGACTCTGTTGCGATCCCAACTATCCACCCAACCCCGGACCTCCGAGGGGGGCTTCTGGCACAAACAGGCGTACCCCTATCAGATGTGGCTAGATGGGCTTTACATGGCCGAACCCTTTTACGCTCAATACGAGGCCTCCTTCAACAGCGGCAGTCCCGACTTCAGCGACATAGCTCTGCAGTTCCAGCTGATTAGCAAGTACACGTACGACTCCTCGTCGGGACTGTACTTCCACGGTTGGGATGAGAAGAAGGTCCAGACCTGGGCGAATGGGCAGACCGGGACCAGCGCCTCTATCTGGGGGAGAGCAGTCGGGTGGCTGTCGATGGCAGTCGTTGACACGTTGGATTACATCCCGTCGTCGGAGTCGGGATCCCGGCAGGTGCTCCTGGGTATCCTGGGCACGCTGGCCAAGGGAATCGCCCGATGGCAGGATCCTGCGACCGGTCTTTGGTTCCAGGTCGTGGATGAACCCGCCCGGTCGCCGCCCAACTACCTCGAGTCCAGCGCGTCTAGCATGTTCGTCTATGCTCTCGCCAAGGGCGTCAACAAAAACTACCTCCCCTCTGCCACCTACAAGCCCGTCGCGATCAAAGGGTTCGCCGGGCTTGTCTCGAACAAGGTCGAGACCAAATCCGACGGCTCCGTCAGCCTTACCTCCATCTGCCAAGTGGCGGGCCTAGGAGGGTCCAAGAACAGAGATGGGACCTTTGATTACTATATGGGTGAACCGGTCGTGAGCGATGACCTGAAGGGAGTTGGACCTTTCATTCTGGCCGGTCCACAGGTTGACTTGCTGGTCAAACGTTGACTTTGACCGTCCGAACGGAGTGACTTCGATCGGCTCATCAGATGGACCTCGCAGAATAGAGGTAGTAGAGACAGGAGAGGAGAGGAGAAAGGAGAAAGAGAGAGAGAGCGGAGATAGAGGAGAGAGGAGACAGGAGAGGGGTAAGAGGTAAGAGAAGGCGTGTGTTCCCCTCTGAGTCTCGTACTTTTTAAAGAAGGAATCTGGTTGTGTCTGAGTCCAGATGCATGCGCGGGAAATATCTTTCCTGACTGAATAAGGTTTTGTTCGTTTGCCGAACGTTTGATCCCGCGAACAAGATTTTTAATGTGATTTCCTTCTCTTTCCTTCCTTTTCACAGGAAAAAAAAAAAAAAGGATTTAATGTGCTTTTCAACCTTCTGAAAGAAGAAGATCGGAACTACTCGGTCGGGTCCGGGACTTCGCGTGCGCCGATTTTTTTGATTATTATCCGATCTTTGAGAGGAATTTATTTATCCGGTCAAGTCTTGCCAGTCTTCTTTTTTTTTTTTGCAGTCTTGCCAGTCTTATCCGCCGGATTGTAAACATTTCTTTTTTTTTGTCAATTTTTCTCACTTAAAGTTTTTGTTTTTTGGTCACTTTCTCTCAATTTTTTTTTATTTTTTTTGCTTTCTAAGAGGACGAGGGGTGGTCAGCTGTGAAGACTACATCGCGGTTCAGCGACCGGAACTACGTTGTTATTCTTTTTTTTTTTTTTTTCCGGAGACCCGCTTGCGTTTTCTTTTTCCTTTTTCTCCCCTTCTTTTGTTTTTTTTTTACAGACTTCATCGCGGTTCAGCGACCGCAGCTACGTTGTTTTTTTTCTTTTTTTTTCTTTCTTTTTTTTGAGCTCCGCTTGCTTTCTCGTCATATCCAATATCTTTTTTCTTTTCCGAATCTTATCCATGGGACTCTTCACTCTTGTCTTTTTTTTTTCTTTTTTTTTTTCCCTTTTCTTTGAGCCATCAATGAGCCGTGTACTTTGCGCCGTGTTTATCGCGGCTATGTGTCTTGTGTTCTGGTCAGCAGTGCACTGACTCGTGCTGTTTTTTTTTTTGTTTTTTTTTTTTGAGACTTCATCGCGGCTAAGCGACCGCGGGGGCCATGTCCCACTTCGCGAGGTTTTGTTCTTGTTTCGAGTGTACAACGTACATGGATGGCTCCTTGCCATCCGATCTGAAAATCTCACGGTCCTACTTTAGTGTGATCACATCGCAAAATACACGAAACATAAACTAAACCCCCGCTACTGGGTGACGGGCCCGGGTAAGGTTTTTTTTTTTTTTTTTTTTTTTTTTTTTTTTTTTGTTTCTTCTTCTTTTTTTTGAGTTCCGCTTGCTTCTTGGTCTTATCCTTTTTTTTTTTCGATTTTTTTTTTTTCCAAATCTTCCATGGGAGCCTTCTCTCTCTTTTTTTCCTTTTTTCTTCGCTCTCTCTCTCTCCTTCTTTCCGCCATCGTCATTTCCGATGTGTTTATTTATGAAAAAAAAACGGATAACTGTGTGGCCAGATAACTCTCGCAAGAGTTTTCGGGCCACAACTCTCAAGTGGCTGTGTGGCGACGGCTCCAACTCTTGAAAACCGGGTTTCAAGAGTGGTGTGGCGAGGCCCTTATCCGTCCGTTCAAGCGTTCCTGTCGCAAATTCTTTTGTTTTTTTTAATAAAGCCCAGGTTGTTCTCGCAATAGCAAAGAGGATTGTTATTTAAAGTCCGAATCTGGACGTGTTTGCGGTGAAGTGAGGAAAATCGCCCCCTTGATCTGCATTCTGCATCTTATTATAAAACCCATCCAGATTCGGGCGCTTAATCCAATCCTCTTTCCTGGTAGGAATTCGCAGTCCTCTCCGTCCGTTCAAGCGTTGCCTGGGCCGAGGTCGCAAATTCTCGCAATAGCAGAAGCGGATTGTTATTTAACGTCCGAATCTGGACGTGTTTGCGGTGAAATGAAGAGAATCGCCCTTGATCTGCAGTTCTGCATCTTATTTTAAAACCCATCCAGATTCGGACGCCTAATCCAAACCCCTTTGCTGTTTATCCCCTAAAGGTTTTCGAAAGTTTTTTCTTCAGCCTCCTGATGAGTCGGTGCAACTCCGTCGAAACAATCTATCATCATCTGCTTTTATCTATTTTATAAAAAAAAAAGTTTTTTTCTTTGTCTTCATCCTTTCTACTTTTTTTTTTTTCCCCTTCCTCTGAGCACTTCTTCTTCTTCAAAAGCGATTTCCTTTCCGAAAATGTATTTTTTTCCTTCGTATGTCGCGAAGGACCAAAACATCTTAAATTTTCTGTCCATTGAAGAAAAAAAAAAAATTGCATAAATGGAATTTCATTCACACCGAGATGTGAAGAATCGGTATCGGCGAACCAAAGTGATAGTGACCTTTTTCAGAGAGAAAAAAAGAAAACGTGATTGTCGACCGCCCTTATAAATGTTTATTTAAAAAATATATATCTTAAAAAGCAAAAAAGGATTAAAGATGCGATATGTGATGATGAGATGCAGACTGACCGGCTTAATCAGTCCTGCCATGAGGACAGACATTCGAGATTCCACGATCGAACATAGATCATCACGCATGCCATCAAGGGGACGAAAAAGAAGTCAACAAAGCACCAGAAACCCAGAGAGCAAAGAGCAATGATAGTCTTTATACCAAGTTTATAGTACAAAGCTGCTCAGAACAAACTCTGTTGCCGACAATCAAATAAAAGGTTTCGCATCTGTGTGTGTGTGTGCGTGTGTGTGTGTGTGTGTGTGTGTGTGTGTGTGTGTGTGTGTGAGTGTGTGTGTGTGTGTG